TTAGATATTGTAAAATACCTGCTACAAAAAAAAGTTTATTAATTAATCTAAAATTATTAATTAAGTTTAATTTATTACTATGATGGTTGATGGTGATAGTTGATACTCCCATACAAATTTTTTCCTTCCATTCGTTACAAAATAGAGGTGAATCTTGAGCCACGTTGGTTTTGTACCAATTAAGGCATTTATTTGCTGTTGACATATTTGATGCCATTGACAGATATAACAATATGTATGAGCGTGTATACAATGTGTGTGTGTTTGTCGAATGTCGAGAAAATTCTAGTCAACTATACAGAAATAATACATTTTACAAATGTGAATAACAGTGACTAGGTTCAAGAAAGAAAACAAGACGCTATGTCGAACAACAAAACGCAAGAAAGGAATATGTAGGGAAAAATGAAAATAAAAATGAATTAATTAAAACGTTCATGACTCTTTGAATATGAGATCGTCAGATGCAAGATGTTGTCTCAATCCAATATGATTAGTATGAGTAACGACAGATGATAAACCTGATTCTGATGGTTTACCATTTACCATAACTAATTTCATGTATGTTGATGGAAACTTTTTTCAGTTTCTTTTATAGCTTTTTCAAATTGTTTGAATGCATGTGTTTTACCACTTCCTTGAATATCAGAAAAGAACGTGTGATCAAAAAATGATAGAAAAACAGATAAATAAAGAACAATATATTATAGACAATGTTTATATAATATATTTAACTGTTGGAATATGAGATTGTTTTTTTGGAAAAAATGAAAATTTTCGAAATTTAAAACGCATACTCTGCTGATTTTAGCCTTTGATAAAAATTTAATGCACTAAATACTAAGGGTGTGGATGAATTTATCTAAGAGAAGAGTCACTTACCCTCAGATTTTTTCTTTAACGTATATTTCATTTATTTTTTTAACATTGATGGCACAGTCATTGCAGAAAAACTACAAATAAATAACATAATATTTAATAATATAAAAGAATAACAATTACGTCGTTTTTATTATTTATTATACAGAATCGGCCATTTCTTATGATGCTTGCACAATGGCCACATTTCTCATTTTGTTTTAAGTGAAGTAACATCCCAGCTAGAAAATAGTTTTGTTATTTTACATTAAATTATTACTAATATTTATTTTATTACTATAATCATTCATGTGGAGATCAATTATCATACTACATGCCGTGCAAAATAACGGCGAATTCTTATTGACATCATTTTGGTGACAATTCAAACATTTTTGAGAAATGGAGCTGCTTAGACTTGATGCCATTGCATATTAATTTTCTTGAAATAAATCGATAATTAAGAACAAAACAGATTTATCAAATTCTATAAATAAGAGATAGAAACAAAAAAAAAGGAATCTTTTCTTTTTCTCTCATTCATATAGCCTGTCATCGAGAGAAGAAAAATATGGTTTATTCTTTCCTTTGTTATTTATTCATTTGTATATGTTATATATATGAAAAGGACATAAGGCAATGAATTTATTTAATAATAATTTGTGTTTAAAACTGAATTATTTTATTTGTGGTTCAAAAGAAAATTGATCAAAAAAAAAACTTAATTTATCGGTGAGTTTTATTTTATAAAAAAATTTTTTCCTTTTTTGTACAATTATCGAAGTAATATCTTTGTTATATAAATATGTTCTTGTTCATTCTTTTAAAGAGTAAAAGAAAAACTTGAGGGTGGGTGCAAATATGGGTGTCTTCTGTTTCATCATTCATACTAACACGCACACTCGGTAGCAGGGTCTTTGTTTCTGAATAAATCTTTTTTCGCCATTTGCAGCGACTTCTATCCGAATGATCTCTTAGAAAGTCTCATCTTGAGAGTGAACTGCCTCCCTTCTCCTTGTACTTGCTGGACACGAACGACAAACGTTCAGTTCTATTTTATTTGCGTCGTTTTGATGTCAGGCGGCGAAGAAGACGCTCAAAGAGTACGATTACGTAAACATAGGGGGAAACAAAGACTGCTCCGACAATGCAAAGAGTAAAACATAGTTTAGGAAAATAAAATAAAATGATCATCGCAACGGTGAAAAAACTAGCGACTAATAGAAATTGGACCGTTTGCTGTACAGCTTCGTTCATGTTTCTACGCGAATCGAGTTCCGTCGATCGTGAAAGTGTTGTTTCGGGAGCGGATCTCGTCGATTGTGAAAGCGTTGTTTCAGGAGCGATCCTCGTCGATTGCGAAAATGTTGTTTCGGGAGCGGTTCTCATCAGTTGTGAAAATGTTGTTTTGGGAACGATTCTCATCGATTGTGTTGGTGCTGTTCCCGGAGCGGTTCTCGCCAATTGTGAAAATGTCGTTTGGGGAGCGGTTCTCGGCAATTGTGAAAATGTTGTTTTGGGAACGGTTCTCGTCGATTGTGAAAATGTGGTTTCGGGAGCGATTCTCGTCCATTGTGGAAATATTGTTTCGGAAGCGATGCTCGACGGGAAATTTATCGTTGGTACGTTCATCGTTGGTTCTGGGGGATGGTAAGGAGTATCTGGCAATACACGACTGTTAGCCGCAACTTCAACGGGTTGGATCACCGGTGTCGGCTTAAGTTGGGTGCTTTTTTCCTTCCAATACCACTGACGTGGAATCCAATCGGTTAGAGCTGCCATGCGACTGCTCGAGCATCGATGGACATGTCTGGCGAAGCGGCTTCGGACAATGTTGGTCTTCTCACATCGTAGACATCGAACGGGTAGACTGTCAAGATAATTGCAAATCGTCGCGTCCGTGATCTTTCTTGGCACGGTATTCGCCCCGTATTGTCGCCGACAGACAGGACATGATGCATTGGTTCGCATCCATTTGTCGATGCAAATCTGGCAGAATGTATGTTGGCAGTCGAGACTAACTGGCGATTGCCAAGGTTCAGCACAGATTGTACATTTCACATCATCGCTGATCTCGTCTTCGTTGATATATTCGTATTGATCGGCCAATAATGCCTTATTTTGATGTCGTTGTGTTGACCTAAAGAGCATTGCTGTGGCTTCTATTGTGGTAAAAAAAGAAATGACAATGTTGTCTGTGTTGTTTGGACTTTTATCGTTAGCCGACGATGCGTCAGGGAAAGAGAAGAACGTGCATGAGTGATGATTTATCTCGTAGTGACGTGTACTTGCACAAACAACTTTCTCTTCGCTTTGATGTTGACGTAGAGGAGAATTCCTTTCATGACACATCGATGAATCATTCGTGCATTGCGATTACGCACCATTTCGTCTTCGACACTTTCGTTATCACATCCAAAGACAATTCTGATGATATTGAAAGCTCTTTCAGCCATCACAAGGTGTGGATGTGAGTGTGGATGTGGAATGAAATGAATGCCCACATCCATACACACACCTTTTATCGCATAACAAGATTCTTTATTTGATGTTTTATTTTGAGTAAGTTATTATATCTTAAAGACGGTGTACCCGAGGACAACACTGTAGATTTATAGTCAGAGCAGAGAAAAATAGTACACATTCCTGTTCAAAACAACATTTACTAAATTTTCTTTTGGTGTCATTTTTCAGTTATTGTTTTCATTCCATCTGACTGGATAGAGTTTTGAGAGTAACCATAACTGATATCTTGAGGGTGGGTGTGGGTGTTACTTTCTTCGTTATATTCTTACTCACACTCTCAAAGTATATATCATTTATTTTTCTCTTTTATGCTTGCTATTTATTTATAATTCTTATCCTTACACTCACTTTCCCATCGTCACCTTCACAATCACCCACACCCACACCCTCAAGAGTGAAGAAATTTCATCACAAGTATAAAATTTAATAGATTTTCCAAATAAAAAACTGCGTTATCAATCATAAGTGAGATTTTCTATCATAACAAATCTGGATTTAATGGAAGCGTTTTTTTCTGAGGACTTAAAAAGATTACGCAATTCTGACTTTCTTTCTTTCTTTCTTTCTTTCATTGCATCGCACGTCACTCTTAAAATAAGATATCACTACCTCCGCAATGTAAGAAAACTGACTCACATCTGCTTGACGTCAACATTTAAATATATTCATAATATTTGCTTTGTATCCCATAGCACTGATACGACTATAAGAACGCGAGAGATTCTGGCAGAAAAACACAAAATTAAAAAAGAATGCAAAGACAAGTACCACTTTTATTGATCATACTAGTCTTTCATATGTCCACTGGTCTTCGATGTATCAATAATTGTGAACAAAATTTCAACATAAGCCAACCGTTTAATAGCTTCGATAATAGATGTGGACGTCCAGTAGAAGATGCATATCGATGTTATGTCAAAATGCAATTTTTCTTTCATCTCGATGAAGTAACAATGCTTTTTATTACTGGTACATCAACCAATAAGGATTTCATTCGTATTGAACCGAATCGAACAAAACATTTTTCTTATCAAATCGAATATGCGTGTGATAATTTCGATGATTGTGCTCGCACGTTTGCCGAGAAAAAAATGATTGAAATGAAAGAAAAATCATACAATATTTCCTCCATTTTCAACGACTTTGACGTTCTTCTTAGTCGCACTGATACAAGCAAAGAACTCACATGTTATGACGGCAATCGGACAACAAATTTGTGTTCAACTCCCGATAAACTTTGCTATTTGGAACATCATCAGATCAGTGATACGACAGACGCATCTTCCTGCCCTCAAGAATTTAATAATCCTACTGTAAATGTGATCGTTAATGATCAGGGATATGGTGCAGGACTCTTTGTACGATGTAGTCGACATTTATGTAATACAGCAGAAACAGTAAATACAGTTAAACAAATTTTATTCAAACATCAAATTACGGATAAGAATGGAAGAACTAGATCATGGACCACAAGTACGGGGACAACTGTGATCAGTGTATTTTTTCATATTGTTCCAGCGCTTTTGCTTATTTGTATAATCAATTTTATGTAATTTTCTAGTCAATATTTTAGTAGAATGCTTTTATTGTAAACATGTTTACGTATATCTATATCCTGATTTTTTCAGCTTTCATGCTATCGATCGAAAGATTCTACATCAGCCTTATGAATTGGTCCTCGCTAACAAAGTATGAGGAATAATGGTTTTCATGATTTTGTATTTATGATATTGCGTATCAATGTATATAAGTAACTTATTGAAAATGAAATAATGCACGCTGAGAGTATGGATGTGCATGTTGATTTATTCATTTCTTCCACATCTGCACTGTCAAGATAGTAAAATTTAATAATAGAAATTGTTCTTTGAACAAGCATGATAGATTTGAAAGTTCGAAGTAAAATAAAAAGAAAGCTATATTTTTCATCTTGACTAAACCAATTAGTGCTCAATAATTTCCTCAGTTTTCTAAACCATTGTTTGAGACATTTGTTTGTATTTTAAGATTTTCTTCAAAGCGATCCGTATCGTGCAATTAAATAATCACTCAAATCTACAAAAGAAAGACCATTATTCGAATAAAAACAATAAAAATGAAGATATTCTTACTAACAATTCACAGAAAAATATTATGAAAATGACAAGTATAATCATGAACATGAGAGAAGCTCCACTTAAAAGTGTTGCAATTAACATTATTAGACAAAAAAGTATATTACTTATGCCCTCAAAGAGTGCGATTTATAAAAACTACAGTGAGTGCAGAAAAAATCAGGATGTGGTAGCGGGTGTGGATTGAAAAGAATATCAACACCCACACCCTCAAGATAAACTTTTAATTACTTTCTAACGATAAGAAAATCGTTATACAAAAAATTCAGTTTTGTGCAAGTTTTTTTGAACTTGTGTGTATTACCGTATAATATAAATTTAACATTATTTTATACCGATATAATTTGCTTTTAGTTTAACGAACTATGTATTGTATATTTTTGTTGTTTTGACTACAAGATATTAAACTTTTATTATACAAAACAATGAAAATAAATTATAAAAAAAAAGCCATTAGTTTTTTCTTTTATTTAAATCATTCGACTATCTCAACAAACAAATTCTTTTGTTCTCCTACTTAAGACATTTAATCATTCGAATAAAAAATAATTATTTTATTTAAAGTAATTTTTTTAATATTTATATCAATCTCAATAAGAAAAGAATCGTAAGCATATAAATTCATTGAAGAATAAACCTACAAAGCTTTCATGTTATTCTTTTTTCTAACGAGTGAAATAGGTAATGTTATTATCAATACACGCTTTCCTTTTAAACACAGATCTTCCATCTTCTTTTTCAATTAGAATAGAAATGATAAAGTACTCAAGAGAAAGAAAAATTGATGAGAAAAAAAAAGTAATAGTGCATGTCTTATTTCTTTTTCTAGGATAGAAAATAGTAATTTTAGCACAAATATCGTGCGTCTTAAGAAGAGGTAAAAAAAAGTAGGACAAACACTTTCCTCCCTCATTTATCATAATGTGCGAGAGAGAGATAAAAATTATATAATATAATTGTAGAAAAGACTAATAACTATTATTATTTACATTCCATTTTCATTAGAGAAAAAGAATAGACAAAAATCAAACGATTCCGAATTGAGAACTCGTGATGTTTATCTACAGTCCATACAACAGCACGGAAACAAGTCCTTCAATCTTCTCATCTATTCTTATCTACTCTGTTTATGCGATCGCATTTCTAACTGTTTTATCAATTTCAATAGTCATCTTTTATCTAACACTTACTGTCGAAAAATTCAAAACAATCTCAAATCTGCTCCTCTGCAATACATGTCTTATCAGTTTACTCTACTCAATAACAACATTTTTACAAGTTTTCATGGTTGCGTTTACTCCACTTCGTCCGGTTATCAAAGATAGCCGATTGTTTTGTGTAATTCGTGCCTATCTCACAGTTGTTGCTACAACTCTACTAAGTTCATCATTTCTTCTTCAAGCTGTTAGCCGTCTGTTTTATTCAGTGTTTCATACATATCATCGAAGTCTGTTAACATGGAACTTTCATTATTTTTTAATTGCTGTTCAATGGACTGTAGGATTTTTAACACCGATCACAATTCTTATCAACTACGACCATGTTATCCATCGGACAGGTATATTTTGTACAATCGGATTAGATCATACTCTCCATCTCTATTATCTCTATTCAACCGAGTATATTATACCGGTGTCAGCTATCCTCCTTGTTTATATAATAATTGTCTATCGAGTCAATTATTATTCTGCTCCATTCAAACAACGTCATTCTAATCCTGCTCGTGAAGTCAAATTACTCAACAACATTCTCATTTTCGTCGCTATTTTTACTTTTGGTGGATTACCGTCTGTTATCTATATCTGTCTAATGACATCCCAGCGAATCCTATCGATTCATTTCTTTATACTAACATTAATATCGGTACCATTGTCTATAGCAATGGAAAAAATCTCTGTACTGTGGCTAAACACACCATTTAGAAATGCATTTGTGACATGTTTTTGTTGCATAACGAGAAAGAGAAACAATAAAAGCAGGAAGATGGATAGTCGAAGTAATAAGCTAATTAAGAGGAAAGAAAAAAAAGTTAATATCTGTATATATAATCTATAATGACACTAGGATCTTTGAACGTTTTTGTTGTCTTTATGGTACCTCATGTTATTTTTGTTTTTTATTGTTTTCATTATTGTTTGTGTGGAATGACAAGGCAAAAAAGAAAATATGTGACATGTTTTGTCTTACAAATTAAAGTCATCCTTGAAGCAAAAAACGTATAATTGAGTTACAGTCAAAAGAAGTAATTCTTGATTCTATTCAACAGGGATAAAACTAAATAAAAATATAACTAAAAAGAAACAACTTGTTTTTATTTAATTTAACAGGATGCAAATCTCAATAACAATTAATGATTTATGAATACTAATAAATGAAAAAATACAGCAGAATATATTTCAGATGATTAATAATAAAATACCCTAGTCGACCTTTTTTTTGCACGCACATGAGGTTCTTGACTTTCTTGAGCAAGATTATCATGCGCTATGAGCACATCTTGAGGTCAAGTCTTGTCAAGCGCTTAAAAAAATACCCGACTAGAGTACCAATATTTCTGTAGAATAAAATAAACGAGACGATGTTTTTATTTTTATAGAAATTAACTCTTGTTTGAACTAGTTTAGTTTTACATGCTACCTCGTAGATTTTGACATATGGTTGTAATAAATAGATAAAATTAATTTTATATTATTTAGAATAATAATAATAACAAATGAAAGTCATATATCATTGAATCTTCTATAAATAAATTAATTTCTATTTCTACTTTTAATATTTATATATCTTTCTTCGTAATCTAAAAGATTAATGTACATTGTTCTCATTTCGAACTACTTTACTTTTTTTGATTATCTTTCTTCATTTGAACTTTTCTATTAGTAGATACTTTATCATTTTTTTATTTCTTTGACTCGACAAAAAGCTTTGTACCTCGGTCTGTTTTTATCAGTTATATACTTGAAGAAGAAATTCTAATGTTTGTAATTCATTGTTCATTGCATTATTCTTTTATATTCGAGATCTCGTTTGATGTTTTATCTCATCAAAAATAATGATCATTGCAGAAGATTTAAACTTTAGACATACGCTACACGATATTCTTTATAGATAGTATCATGGCTTCTCCTTTTGGCGATGGTTTCCATATTGAAATAACTCATAATGATAATGATGAATCTGAATTCGATATCAAAGAATTATATACCAGAGAAAAAACTTTGCAATTACGTAATATCTATATTCCGTAAGATTATATTTCTTTTTTTCTTCGAAATAAACTTCTTTTTATTAATAGAAATTGTATCGAACTTTTTTATCGTCATAGTCCATTGAAAATTGTTCGTTGTCAAGGAACATATATGTATGATCAATTAGGAAATAGATATTTAGATTGTATTAATAATGTTGCACATGGTATCTATTATTATTATTATTTGTATCAATATTATTTTTTTATTTTTTTTTTATTTTTTTAGTTGGTCATTGTCATTCATATGTTAATAAACAAATTTATAGACACATGGGTGCATGTGCAACAAATACTCGTTATTTACATGATAATACAGTTATTCTTGCTGAAAAACTTTCAAAAACATTACCAGAAAGTCTTCAACAAATATTTTATACAAATTCAGCGTAAAATAAAAGTTAATTTCTCATTTTATGAATAAGTTTAATGTATATTTTAGATCTGAAGCAAATGATTTAGCAATTCGTTTAGCTGGAGGATTTACAGGAAACTATGATATTCTTGCACTTGACAAGTATATAAAGAAGAATGATTAATAAAGAAAATAAGTTTTTATATGTTTAGTGCCTATCATGGTCATATATCAACTCTTGTTGAATTATCTACATATAAGTTTAAAAAGATGAAAAAGCCTACAAAAATACCAGAACATGTTCATATTGTGAGTACAATGATTGAGTTTATCCATAGTTGACTAAGAAAACATAACATGTGTATCTGATATTTAATTTTAGATTCCAACACCTGATGTTTATCGAGGGAAATATCGTGATATTGATTATAATTATGATGAAGTTAAATTATGTGA